CCTCGGTACCACCCACAACGCAATGCAGTGCCACCTCAGCCGAATGCCACATCAGCATGCTCTCATCACCAATCATACATTCCGCCTGTCACCACGGCCAATAACGTCGTCTGTAGCCTTCCGACGCACCCCTCTCTACCCGGGGTGTGCGCCTATTAATGGCCTGACGTCACAAGAACCAACTGCGAAGAAGCATCATCAACGCACCAAGTCTGTATAACGCCAGCGTGCCAAAGGTAAGTGGCGAATCATACCAGCTCCGATACCAAATTGCAAGGAACATGAGTATGGACGAAGCACAGAAATCCAGATTGCAAAATCACACTGGAGTCCAAGTAGTCAAAGCCAGAGCAGATAGCACAATGGAACCGACTAACCATCCATTTGAGAACAATACAGAAGAATCGTGAGTCAATGTCCAAGCCCAACAGGGCAACACCAACAGCATAACCCAATGTAGCACTCTCTCTGAATGGCGGGCGCCCTACCTACTCTACAGACTAAGCCTACAACTACAGCAATGAAATCAACCAGACAACTTGACTACCAGCGAGTGATGATGTCAACACCAATGCCGACCTCCCACCTCCACCAGGTACGTCTCCTCCTTCACCCACACTCTCCCTTGATTACCCACACAGCGCCCTTCACCTCCGAAGAACCACCTTTGCCCTCACCTCCCCTGCGCCCTATGCAGCCCGGCTATGGCCGCCAGCGCCCAGTTCACAGGCAGCGCCCTACCGCCTAGCGCCGGCCTGCCTTGCACCTCTTCTTAGCGCAGCGCATTAGCTCGCATTAGCGCAGCGTGCCGGCATTGCCCGCAATGGCCAAGATCCTTGCCCACTCGCCCTGCTTGCCTATATGCCAGTGCTGCGTGTGGGCGGCCTCCCTTCAGCCTGCAACTGGGCCCCAGTGCCTGAACCCAGGCCCGATGCAGTAGGGGCCCGGGTGATGCAGTTGCGCCTCTTTCGTCAAGGCCTGCGGCCAGATTCAGATAGTGGGCCGATTTCCCTTTGGCATTTTCGGCCTCTATACCCAGCATGCATTGTCGGCCTCACGTTCAAGTGCCCAGGGCCTAACAAACTCAGAGGCCCTGGGATCTCCACATTTGCAGAGATTCGAGACTCGGTGCACTCCAACCAACTGGCGTGCTGCAACTGTATGGGCCCCACTTCGGGAAATGTTTGCACGGAGGGCTCTTGTTGATTTGCTGGCCCGCCTTCACTTAGGGCGGGCACTAGGCTTGCTGGGGCCTTAGCCCAGAACATGTACATCATGGCAAGGCCCCTTCTTGAGGGCTCAATCCTCACACCAGGTAAGTACCCCTGGCGCTCCTCCCCGTTCCTGTCCTTCTTCCTCCTCCGTGTCCTTCTCCTTCCCCCAGCAGCGCTGCTCTTGGAAATCGCTGCTCCAGCCGGTGCTCCAACCGGTGTGTCGCCAAACTTGCACACCGAAAAAGAGGCCGGACTCTTCGCCCGGCTGGGAGATATAGCGGCCTGCTTGCCTCTTCGGGCGGTGACTTCCAGGCCGCTCGGCCTTCCAAGCAACCGGTACCTCCTCCCTTTCAGAGGGAAACATCATTGCAGACACTGATATTGTCCGTACAGGCCCTAGACCCAAACTGGTTGGACTGGTATCCGCCTAGACCTAACCTACAACTACTGGGCCTCTAAAAATGCCACTTTTGTCTTCTTCTGTTCGGCCTCCAGTACCTGCACATCTACCCCTTCAGGGTGCTGTACCGGCCTACCCGCTACTTGAGTGTTTTTCCTGTTGCCATCCCTCAATGTCACGGCCACAGGAAAGTACCAGCCCTGAGGGCCCAATGAACGAGCAAGTGCCCTTGCGGGCCACACACACATTCAAGCCAACCAGCACTCAGACAGGCACGGCCACACACACACTCAAGCCAACCAGCACTCAGACAGGCACGGCCACACACACACTCAAGCCAACCAGCACTCAGACAGACATGCAGTCCAGCAAGCGTGCACACACAGACTTAGTAGCAAGCGGGAAACTCAGCAGGGCATTCAGTCTATGGGCAAAACTCAGAAATCAGCTGTGTGTTTCAGTCCTTGTTTGGACGGGTCATCACACAGCTGGAATACCCGTGGACATGATCCTGAGGGCAATAAATGCTTTCCAAAGAAATTGCAAACATGGCACAATCCATCAAGAGATAAGCGAGTTCAGAAATACACTAAAATAAAATAGAATATGTCACACTAATACCTTTCTCGGCCTTTTGGCTAAGATCAAGTGTAGTATCTGTTCTGATCAGTTTAATATCTGATCCGTGGTCCATCGTGCAATCAGACTCAAACTCAAACTCACTCTTCCATGCATGTAAACAGCGATACAGCAAACTGGCGACATGCGCCCACACAGCACTCAGAGATATCGTAACCAGATAAGAGTTCTCTTGCAAATGGCTATGGCGACTGTGCGCCCACACAACTCACTGTTCACACTCTGGATCACCCTGGATGTCCCACACACATCCCTCAGAACACTCACACAGTATACACACACTGCACTCTACACTATGCTATGGCAGCTATGGCTGCCGCTACCTATCACTATGGCTACGCTGCTTCACTCTCGCCCACTTCGTCTTCGGGCCTCCTGCAGACCTCCTTGCACTAGACGCTGAGGCAGCACTACCGCATGGCTTCCGCATGAATGAATGAATGGCTGGGCGCAGCCTCTTGATTTATACTTCTGTGAAGCGTTGGTCTGCCCTGTACCCTTTGGCCCACGATGTGCACAGTCCCAGACGGTACTTGCTTGACTGGACCGGACTGGGTAGACTGGGACTGCTGACTGTACGAGGTGGACTGCCACCACTTGACCACTTGCCTTTGCCTAACGTAGGCTGACCCCGAAAGGCCACTTCTAGAACTCTCTGTTTTGGCCTTTCGGTACTGTAGCAGCTACGACTTTGCCCTTTCAGGTAAGTAGCAGCTACGACCTTGACCCTTCGGACAGTCTACAGCTACGACCTCTAGACTGTCTAGACTCCTACCCAACAGGTCTACAGTTCGAATCTCTTCTACCCTGTAACCTATGAAATCCTACCTACCACTGGCGGTCCTACAGGTCGCAGGTTCAAATCTACGGGTTGACACCGGTACTGTACACAGGTAAGATGGGGAACTAGGGATCGAGCCCTGGGATCGGCATCAGCTACTGCGAACTGGTGAATACCGTTTCAATCGGGCCACATGATATTAAATTAAATTTTCAGGGCTACGGAGGGGCCATACGGGTAGGCTTGCCTACTCGACCGTTCCAGCGTTGCCTTCGTCTTGCACTGCAGTGAAGCGTGGCGCGGTCCACTCCCCCCTGGGAAAAAAAAAAAGAAAAAAAAAAGAATATGTCACACTGACTCACACATAACTACTGAATCTCCTCACCAGGACAGACTGCCTAAATACATGAACATTCGGAATTTAATATAAAAATGATGTGAGCACTTGCCTTTGTCATTGGATGAAATTCAAGCAACAATGACAGATGAAAGGCCGCAACCTGGAATATAAAACAACAGGGGATAACCAGGCAACATGAAGTAAATAAAACAAACAGACAAAGGTTAAGTGTGATATATAAGGTGAAATCAGCCATCTGCGAGGAACGAGCCCTCACGGGGCCCCTATCAGACATATACATGTCCCGGGCAGAGGCCCCCAGTGAGCCGAGTGCTCGCCCTAAGTGGGAGGCGGGCCTGAATATTCATCAGAGGCCAAAATTCGACATTTTCACATATGGGTATTCAGGCTGTTGCAGCCTGCCAGTTGGTGGACTGGACGCGCGAGCCTCACTAAGCTGTGTCGTACAGTTGGCCCAGGCCTTGGCATTTGCGCCTGGGCACATACACACGAAGCAGGGCTGATACATCATGAAGTGCCACCGGCCTCTGCAAAAGCAGTACTGTCGACGTACCTACCAAGGGGTCCTGTGCAAATGCAGCAAACGGCCCAAGTCCAGAGACTCAGGCCGTGCCCAACTGTGAAGGGCCCAGGCCCTCAACTGTAGTCTCTGGCCTGGGCGCAGGAACTGGGGCCCAACAGGAAGCTACTGGAAGCTTCCAGCCAGGCCACACGCAGCATCCAGGAGGCTGCCACTTCCATATAGGAAGAGAGGCAGCCCAGGCCAGGATTCTGGCCCGCGCAGGCAATGCGGTCACGCTGCTGCGCTGCTGCATTGGATGCTGCGTTGCAGCCAGTGCGCTTGCGGGGCGCGTTGGGCGCTGCAGGGCAGCGGAGCGCAGCCACCCATAGCCGGGCTGCTGGTCGCTAGGGGGTAAGAGGGCGATCAGGTGGTGTTCAGGGAAGGAGGCGAGTGTGTGTGGGTTATCAAG